CCCCCCCCCCGTCAAGCCGGAAAGGGAAGATGCTGACAGCAGAATCGATAAACACAATATACATATGACTCATCCAGATTACAGCATATTCCGAAAATACTTCACGTTGCTCTGCATCCATACCTGGCACCTCGGTAAAAAGTTTACCTTCACGCTTTAGAGTTCATCTTAGGAAACAGTAAACTTCCGTTCGAATACTTTCTTTGGGCTCTTAAACTGTGTGAAGGTCCGGTCAGTTAACATTTTGCTTTACGGTTCCTCAACATTTCCCTCGAAGAGTCTATTGATGGTGTGGTGCTTAATTATTAGGCACAGGGACATTTTTATCTTTACGAAAATTCATTTCAACACTGGGAAATGATTCTCAAAACGCAGGAGTTCTTACTATTATGAAAGAGCTAGCGGCCGCACGGGAATTACTGATGTGCATACTGACAAAAAACAAAAAAACAAACTCCGTGGCCTGTAGTCGGCAAGCCAACTATACCGACCGAGCGACCGCCGCTTGTAGGCGAAGTTAGTGGCAACTTTAGCGGGTAGAGGGTGTCGAGTGGTCAGCACGACGAATTCCCACGGCCGTTAATTTCGGTTTTCTAGACCGGAGCCACTATTTCCTTGAAATAGCTCCTCAATTATCCTCACCAGGCTGGGTGGACCAGTTCCAGACCCACTACTTCTCAGAGAATCTGGTAGCGCCGAGAATCGAACCCGGACCTCTAGCCAGGAACTCTGACCACTAGCCCACAGAGGCGGCCGTAAGTATCGGCAACAGAAATTAAACTTATGATAATTGCTGGTTACGCACTATTGGATCATGCAAGAAATTGTGGTTTCTGAAATAATTAAAAATTCAAAAAATCATCAAATTTACACAAAATTATCGAACTGAAGACAACACGTGAGAAGAGTAGAAAACAGAACACCATAAGAGATTATATCATACAAACCTAGTTAATAAGAAAGGAAGTGTCGGACGACGACAGAGATAGCATGACACCGTGACAAGCCACATGGACCTGACACGATAGCGTTGATAATGCAATATTTGTAAACATCAGTCCTTACTCTCTCCAGCATCACTGTGACACGCAGACTGAGGGAAATGGTGTTGTTACACGAAACCTGAGTTACTTTTCATTCATAAAATTATTTCGCAGAAAACCCAAGGTAAATTAAGCGGTTTAAACTCGTTTAAGGTATAAGAAGACATTCAGCAGAATGCTAACATACACATAGCTATTACGTGTCTATAACATTTCTGAACATGTGTATAATTTATTCATGTCAAACTTCTTCACGCGGCGCGTAAAAGTGAACTACCGCTCTTTATGTAAGACAATCTGTAAACGTTCAGAAGAATACCTGCTAGTTCAAAGAGAATTGTGCGTCGAACGTCTTCATTCAGATTTCCATTCGTAGTGCAATGTATGGTAACGAAAACGCATAGATAATATGTAAGGCTACAACCGTTAGAATAAAGAGTCATGGGTTACAATGTAACGGAAGAACGACTGTGCCCAGATTACAACTGCTTTGTCCAGTCATTACTTACCTGAAATCGCGTTCTCCTATCCATGCTTCCAAGCTCAACTCCCCACGAATTTCTTCTACTATCATCAGCAGAGCCCTTCTCAGACATTTCGAACTTGCTGTCAAGATATTCACACCTATATTACCGTTAAAATATATCCACTTTTCGTCCGTTACAACTATACTGTATCATAAAACTCTCACATTCGCACACGCTACCGGTGCGGCACGCCTTGGAAAACGAACCAACACACGTGTCGACTTCTGCCGCGAGTTCACACAACTACCGGCAGTTAACTAGTCCAACAGCACGAGAATCGATTCGAGGCTCCCCGCCAAATAACCGCAGGACTTCTTTCTAGGCACCACCACCAGTAGCGCTAGAGTCTGCCGTTTAACACCGTCATCTGTTAGCGAGATGCGTACTTAAGAACAAATGGTTATATAAACCTTCATCCCACCAATTGCTCCACAATCTAACCCGCCTATCATCTGGGGCTGGTACAATAGGCCAGAAGTGGCCTCAGTACAAGGGACTTAGTCCCATCCCACTAGCATAAAAAACCCCTTCTAACACTGCCGCACGTCATACGCTCTAAGTAATAAACCTTGTGAATCATGCATATTAAACACTGCTACGAGCCCAGGAACAAAGGGGGACCAGCCACACAGCATCGTGAGCGGTCCTGAGGGTCGGAGTTCGAGTCCCGGTAGGGTCAAGAATTTTCTCTTCTTTACATCGCCCAGACCGACTCTGGGGCCCAAACAAACTCCTAACCAATGGATACCGGGAGCTCTTTCCCGGGGGGTAAAGCGGCCGGGGTGAGAACCCAACCACTCACCTCAAACTAATACAGAGGTCAAGAAAATGTGGATCTATACATCCACTCCCCCTTTCGCCTTATTGTAGTACTTAATTAGTTAAGCACATGGGCTTTACACTTTATATTTTTACAGGCTGAACAACAAATGAGTCACAGTTTTATTCCTAACAAGGAGATTTTTCCTCCACTCCACAGCGTCCAGACTGGATATGTGGCCCACACAGTCTCCCATACATCGGGTACTGTGGACTCATTCTCCAGGTTAAACTGGCCTGGACCTGATGGTTACCACTTTTTTATTTCTGCCTCCTAAGGGAAGTGTCATACAGCAGCCACATGACATCTCTATGAACTGTTCAGGTCTCCTGAACATTATTAAGTTTATTGTATGTGCGTTCACATAACATAGAACATGCTGTCATCTGAAAGTGACTAGTTATTCAGTTACTGAATTGATGGAAGAATGCAGGTGGCAAGCACTGGCTTGATCATAATTACATTTCAGATTACTCAAAGAACATGGCATCTAGGAAAAGCAGAAGCCATCACTTACAGCTATTAGCATATACTTCAGAAGTAAATAATACAGCATGTCATCTTTGCAGATATTGCAACTGAGAATTTCCAGAGAAAATTAACCTCATGTTTATTTCACATTATTATTCACACTCACTTACTGCTATAGGTAAAAATTAACTGGCATTACTTCTTTATTGACACTTGCTATGTTCAGGATACCCACTTCAGAACAATGGCTCCTGGGTGTCTATTGTAAATGCCCGCTATTTATCTCTCCTTACAAGAAAACTGTCATTTGTAACTAACCTTTATTTTTTTGTAAATATATACTATATTTCAAATTTAAGTTATCAGGCCTATCAATTGGTAGGACAAGAAATTAAGTTGATATAATGCTGTGTAGTCCATTATTTTCCAGCAGTACTCTTCATAACTGCTGTGAGAACCTCAAATCATACCAGAAATTAAGCTGTTACTACTTATTGAATTCTTTTATCATCATAACCAACAATTCCATCAGAACATACTTTTGTTATTAGTAATAAATTTCAAATTATGTATTATAATGATCTGTCAGCTTTAAAACACTGTTCAAAGCATTACAGTCATTCAAGCCTATTTTGTCAATTTTAGAACATAAAATAATAACTGTAATACCCTTTAACTGGATAGCGGTCGGTATAGTGACTGCCTATACCTGGATGGCCAAGAATTTTCGCTTCTCCGTCTAATCCTAACTGGCTCTGGGGCTCACCCAGCCTCCTATCCAATGGGTACCAGCAGCAAAGCGGCCAGGGCGTAGATCAGTTTTGCCTTATTGCAGTTGGTAACGTTGCTAGTTGTGGTTGCTGTATTCTGGACAGACACTTACCTGACCCCCACCCCTCTCTCCCAGGGCATCAATATCACTAGTGGACTAATCAGACCAAATCCTGGTCGACACAGAGCTTGTCCAGTGTAGGAATTTTGTGACAAGCATGTCACAGTTGTTATGTCTTCACTCTTGCATGCCTGGACTGTGATGTTTCTTCGAATTTTACTGACATTTGTAGGAAAAAAACGGCATTTGTAAGTATGTATATAGGAAAAAGAGCCTGTCACTGACAGGCTGGCTACAGACCCAGAGGTCCCGGGTTCAATTCCTGGAACTTCCAGAGTAGTGGATCTGGAACGGGATCCACTCAGCCTCATGAGGATAACTGAAGAGCTATTTCAAGGAAATAGTGGCTCTGGTCTAGAAAACCAAGCTTTAAGGCCGTGGAAATCCATTGCGATGACCACGCAACACCCTCTAACCGCAAAAATTTGGCACTAACTTCGCCAACAAGTGGCGGACACTCAGTCGGTATAGTTCGCTTGCGGACTACAAGCCACAAAGTTTGTTCGTTTTTTTTTGTGCTGTACCCTTTACCGTTTCCTACATCCTACAGGAATTCCCACTGTTATGACGCAGAACGCCAAACATTCCATCTTCATGGGCAGTTGCAGGGCATCTCAGATGATCACTGTAAAGGGTGTAACATTTAAGTTTATTTGACACTTTTATTCTATTTAAGCCATCTGATCTCACTTGGTCTAAGATTTCACTGGTCCATAGTGTCCATTATTTCAATACTTTTAACATCAAACTACTGTCATAAAACTTGTGTTTAACAAAACATAACATGTCTCTACTATTACCCAGGTGCACAGGGCAGTCTACGCTGACACACCGAACACAAACTTCCACATTTTAATGAAACTGAATAACCACAAGGAAAGAGCACATCCCAGAAAGTCACTGAAACCTATGCTAACCAGCTAAATCTACACCATAACCTCTTGGCCCACTTCAATATTATTCTCTCATCTACACTCAGGTCTCCAAGGTGGTCTTTTCCTTTTAAGGTTCTCAGCTAACACTGCACGGCTAAGTTCCAACTTCCTTCAAAACAGAAGAACATACTGAATGGTGACGTCAAGGTGGGCAACATACTCATATACAGAATGTACTCAATTTTGGCACTAGGCTAGTCTCTGGACATTCAAGTCAAGCCACCTGAAACACAACCATGTTGGTGCAGGGGGTGGCCATTTCTCACAGCATGTGAAATTACAAATGATAGTAGCTGTCTCACTTTGAGCAGTATGCGTCGTAACTACTTGACTAACCTTGCTGTATCACGATCAGTATAGCCAACTGGTAATTATACATACCACTTGCTTGAACACACTAAAACTCTGCGTTCTGCTCATGCAGTGTATGTATGTCTTGTATGATTCTCATTATGGGAGCCAGGATTTCGAGTCCCGGTAGGGTCAAGAACTTTCTCTTCTCCATGTCGTCCTGACCAGCTCTGGGGTCCTATCCAATGGGCACTGGGGGCTCTTTCCCCAGAGGTAAAGCATCCAGGGTGTGAAGCTGACTACTCACCTTCAGCTAGTGCCGAGGTCAAGAAACTGTGGATGTATACATCCACTCCCCAAAGGCCTTCATGGCATAATGCTTAATTAGTTATGCACAGGGGCAACTTTACCGTCTACATTTAAGTTTCTCATAATAAACAGCGATTATTTCCCTAAACTGAGTTAATCGGTTGGTCTTTCAAGCGGAAACATGTTTCCAGTGAGGTAAAAGGTAAAGTTGTGTCTGTGCACTACACCATGACGATGTATGAGGGAGTCGATGTATAGATCCACATTTTCTTGACCTCTGAACTAGTCTGAAGTGAGTGGTCAGCTTCATGCCCCGGCTGCTTTACCCCCAGGAAAGAGCCCTTGGTACCCACTGTGTTGGGTGGACTCCAGAGCTGGTCTTGACAACATGGAGAAATGAAAATTCTTGACCCTACCAGGACTCAAACTCTGACCTCTCGGTCGTCCAGCATGTAGCCCATCGCTATAGCGACTACGCTATCCCGGCTCCTTCCTGCGAGGTACAAAATGAATTTCCACATATCATTTACAAGAAATAAACCCAGCCTCTTGTCAGAGACAATTTTACATATGGACTAGGCACAAGGGTTCAGTTCCAAAAAAGGAAAAAGATCTCTGGTTGTGATCCTCAAGGAGCTTGGAGCCAAGACGAAATCACTGGAGGGTAAACAGTAAAGTAAAGTATAGTAACTCTGACGCAGCATTTAGGGGATTACTGTTACCTTCGGGAAAGGCTACCCAAGTTGCGAATTCGGTTTCAAGTGTCGGTGGAAAGGCCTCTGTGTCCTCTAACCTCACTGGCTTTACAAAGCTTGGGGTCCACTAGCATGTAAGACAATTCAGTGCAGTCAAGAAGGATCCATTGCTACGGCTTGGAGAATGGATACCCCTTGTCTCCAGTAACTCCTTGGTCAGACCTCCCTGGTGACGTTATTTTGTCCGACCCTATGGCTAGAATGATCAACAGAACCTTCCCAAAAGCCTTCTTAACTATAGCCAGACTCTCAACTCTGCACTTTTCTCTTGCAGGTACACCAATGGAGGCAATGACCAGTACATACTTTCCGTGTTCTTGAAATGTATAACAAGCATGTCAGTGGTACTAATTCGTCTATGCATACTAACCATTCTTTCTGATTATACACTGTACCACTCAACATTCCCAATTTTTGGACAAAAATAAACAAAAAGGCTCAGGTCACAACAAATGGTGATGATTTCACATGCAAACACTCCCGCACAAACCATACGAATCAAATAACTGGAAGTTTTAACAGAAATAAAATCTCAAAACAGAAAACAGAAGTATTATCAACCAAAATTAAATTATCATGGAGGTAGGATTTCTAGGATAAATACAGCCTAAGGTGTAGGCATATATATATACTATAAGGGGAAGGAACTTTTTTAAACAACCTCATAAATAAACATAAAGACCTATATTTTCAGTTCACTGAGTTTTATATTAATAAAACAACAGCCACCAGAACTGTAAAAACTTTTGATTACATACCAGTATTTAAAATAATGCAGTTCCTTCACTATTCATACTTGTTCTTCAGTGTCCACTTCATATGCCATAAAATCTCATTGACCATATTTTCACACTGAAATGCTGAAATGTCTGCATTACACCATGCAAAGTATGATTTTATTTCTCTATTTCATTAGCTTCTTATATTATTCAATTTTAATGCCAATAGTGCTTTTAAGCATAAAATTAAATAAGTTTTAAACAATTCTATTAAAACCAATGTAGAATATATTTTTATAATTGGATGCTCCTGAAGGTGATATAAGGCTGAAACATGTCGCATTTCATGATACTTATTAACTAAAAACTTGATGCACTAAATAATAATTCAATACAACCCCACCTAGCGATTAAAAACATTTATGAACGTTTATCAAAATCTGGCCTGTGGTGGAAGTTTTACTTTAATCACACCAAAAAATAATTTAATATATCATCCTCTCAGATTAAGTCTCTATGGATATATTTAATTCACACTTAAATTTTGAAGAAAGAAACATCAATTCAATAGATCAAAACTAAGTTACAAACACATGACATCAAAAAGAATGGACTTCAAATGATACAAGCAACACACCATAAACTCTGTTAAGTAACCCTTATATGTACTGAATTAAATTCTGTACCTGTAACTCCTATGAGAATTTTTTAAGCTATAAAATTACAATATTAAAATCGGCCCTTAATTCAGCATGATCCAATACAGTGTTCAAATAGAAGCAAACAGCTTAAGTACAAGAGAAAGTGCAAGACATTAAGTGGAAAATTTAATGTATCACTGAACTCCGTTGCAGAGCACAACTGCAAAAATAATACCACACAAATGCAGGACCACCTGGAGGGTGGTAGTTTCAAGTCAGGCTGTGTTGCAGTGTCATGCGACTTTTTGGTTTCTGATGCCATTAGCACATGTAAGCCATGTTGTGACCTTGCACAGAGTCCATGAGAGATGAGAACTGTGTATCCCCCCATGGTGGTAAACAGTCTAAACAACTTTTAAAATAATACTTGCAGTACAGAATTCTATGGTTCAAGACTGCAGTGTAAAATTCTGGAATAAAGGTTTACCTTCCTACCAGCATAGACCAGTTATTCACTGATAAAATTAATCTTGAAGAATACGTTACCAATGGAACCTGGAAATCTAACATAGTAACATCCTCAAAAGAACTATACTAGTTTTCTCCTATACAAGTACCCTTCTGATTCAGCTGCACTATGGAAAAACTGGATGAGGATCAGGGAATGTACAAGGGTGAGAGATGGAGATGCAGTGCTTGCAGTATCACACAGCCTCCAAACATTCTTACCACTGGCCTTCACATTACGCCAGAGATATTAAGAAATTCAACTCAGTACATAAAGGGGTCTTCGGTAGCTGGGCACCTTACAGCTTCTGTCTTGGCTGGACATTGCAGTCTGCAGTCTCCCAACCTTCCCTACACCGCACTTGTTTCAAGTGTATACATTGTGCTTGGTACACAGAAATGTGCTTGACATACCAAATGTACACTGGTATGCGTCTTTCTATATCTAGTATAACTGTCCAGTGAACGTATCGATATAGTTGCATTTTGCTAGAAACCATTAAGAAAAGAAATTCTTTCATTTCTGCACAATGTGTATCATATGACATACTTTTGTAAAGTGTCTTATATGAGAATAATGCCTTCATGAAAGGAGTTTTCTTTTTTATTAGCCAATGTGAATGTTTTTACCACATTATGTGCAGAAAATATACTAATGGTACATGAGGAAAAACACTTCTTGATGGTTCTTTACACATACAAAAGAATCCAAGACCTGTAAACATGACATTTTTACTTCACAAAACCAACTAGATTACAAACATAGAAGGCTTCACAATATTGCCTGAATGCACCTGATGGACGTGGGACAGGTAACCGATAAGTTGGTATAAAATATATGGCATGTTGTAATGGACAAAACTTTCACTTATTATGGACATCAGTTTTTCACCTCATTTCCCAGTGTTCACTTTTCTTTTTGGTGAAAAAGCAAAGACATCTCACATGAATGGTCTCCACTTTCAATGCAGTAATTTGATGCAACCACAGAACTACCAGTATTAACAGAACAAAAGCTGATCATACATATAAGGAACATCTTCAAAGTCTGCTACACACAGAAAATTCTAAGTTCTTTTTCAAACTGAAAATATTTGGGCTAACACAAGTTAACAATGGTCTGTCTCTTTCAAACTCTAAAAACACAAACAGTCAAAGCTAATGAAACAAAACACATATGTGGAATTCTGTCACGTATTAACAAATACTCAATTTATAATTAAAAAGTTGATACTGACACCTAATAACTTCAAGGTTTATTTATACCTTCATAGTCAAGTTGTGCATTTTAATTCTATTTATAGGGCAACTACTGTAAAACCTAGTTACTTACTTGCGCATGTACTGAAAAAGTAACAAAAAAATCTGATCTATTGTAAAATACAGTACCAGCTGGAAACTTTTTAAGCTGTTTATATCAAAATAAACATAAATTTAACAAGGTTTTACTGCAACTCCTTAATGATACGTGCATACATTTCCTTAGTCTATACAGAACAGTCTCCTTGTCTTGTCCTACCCACTCCAACTTACATGCGACGGTATGGGTGGAAGCCAGGGGGTTGGCTGGGTTGGCTGTAATTACCTCCTCGCTGTGGCCCTGGGCCCCCTGTGTAACTTGAGCTCGCCACACCTGCATCACTCTGACCTGCATTAGGACAAGCATGAGAATTTGTTCTGATGCACTTTCTGCTCTTTGGCCAGGAACCTACAAAGCATTGGAACCCTTCAGGAACAGGTTATCAGAAGTGAGGCATTTATTAGGCACATTACAAAGAACTGGCAGTCTCCAACATAAATAACCAATTAAGCTAACATACAGGTTAAATAAACCTCATCATCATCTATGAGTCAACTGTCTAGAAAATGTGGGAACCTCGATGTTACAGGGAGCTTTACCTTACAGGTTAAATAAGCATGACTGACCGATGCTTAATGGATATGCAATATTTCACAACACCAACATGTAAAGAGTGAAGTTTAAAATTACCACAACAGCCCTGAAGTAATGTCCACAAGAGAAACAAAGAAATGTGGCATGAAGGGCATATAAGGGTACAGAATTCAAAATACCATTCTATAAAATGTCAGCCTCACTCTTACCACCAATTACTTTGTTCTTCTATGAAATTTTGCAACACAGATAATTGCAATCTTTTGTAATAGAGAATTACCATTTACAATTGACACCTAGCACCCTGCTTTTTTGTGAAAAGATTAAAATATTTAGGTGAATTATATTTTGCTTATTATCATCTAAGAATGCAAAGGTTACTACATCAGCGGTTCAGTACTGAAAGCAATGCTATAAAAGCAAATACAGAGCATATATAAATGCTGCATGTTACATGCATACCTATGCCCACAAACATGCACACAATTGCAGGTTATATTCCTGTGACCAATACAACAGAAACTAACCTGACTGTAATGCTATGGTATCAGACCACCCACATTACATCACATATGCACCAAATCAATATGCATCATTAATATCCACTGCCTCTTTCATATATGAGGGCTAATCAGAAAGTAACCTCCATTTATTATAGGCAACTGTAGGAGTGGGGGAGAGCTCGTATGTGCGAGGTAGTGCCACATAATTCACTTCCTTCTAAACTGTCACATAATAGGTCACATAGTGTTTGCTCTTGTCTCTACAGTTATGATGTGTCCTGCAACTGATAACCCCACCAGCTGCGAAATTTGTGCTATTGTCCACTTTCTTCATGCTAGAAACATGAGTCATGGAAATCCATAGTGAATTATGCATGGTTTATGGTCAAAATGTAATTAGTGAAGGAACTGCAAGACAGTGGTGTAGAATGTTCAAGATAAAGAGTGAAGTGGTCAGCCATCTGTAATTAAGTGGTGATCTAGTTCAAAGTGTTGACCAAAAAATTTGTGAAAGACAGCACTTCACAATTTCATAAATTTAATGTGAATTTCCACAAATTTCATGCACTGTTCTCTATGAGATCATTGCAGTTAGCTAGGCTATCATAAGTTTTGCGCAAGATGGGTTCCAAAAAATGGTCATGAGTGCACACAAAACGTAGAGAATGACTTTGGCTTTTGTAGCCTTCTTTAGACTGATACCACAAAGATGGCGATGAATTTCTCATTCACATCATATCAGGTGACTGAACATTGGTTTCATTTGGGAATGTTGAAAACAAAGAGCAGTGGATGCATATATATTCACCAAACCAGAAAACTCTAAATAAACGTCTGCCAGAAAGATGACAGCAAACTGTTTTCTGGGTCACGAGAGGAGTGCTGATGATGGAATTTGTGCAATAAGGGTCCACAATAACATCAGAAGTGTACTGTAAAACACCAGAAAAACTGCAATGGTCCATTCAGAACAAAAAGGACGGAATGCTGAAATCCGGTGTGGTGCTTCTCCAGGACAACATGCATTTCCACACAACTGCTTCTACTCGAGTACTGCTGGAGAATCTTATCAGGGAGTTGTTTGACCACACACAACACCTTAACAATAATCAGTTGATAGAACGTGTCAAAATGTGGCTGAGGTCACAGGTGGAAGACATCTTTGACACAGGCATGCAAAAACTTGGTCCCTGATACAAGTACCTCAATTCTGGTAGTGACTACGTTGAGAAGCAGCTCAAGTATGTAAGTATTTTTTTGTATATAATATCTTTTTCTCAGCGTCTGTTTTGTTAACAGCTCACTGGAGGTCACTTCCCAAACAGCCCTCATATTACACATGTTAGGGGAAGCTAAAGGGCAAGAAAAAAAAATCACTTTCACCCTGCTCATGTTATCGCTGCTGTCACAGCTGCCTAGTTTAATTGTAAGTCTATGATGTCTCTCCAATATGCCATCCATCACCTAAAATATGAATATGGCTGCAAATGCAGTTTCATCAAAGAATGTGATGACACCCAACTGTCACAAGTTCTTGCAGCCTCTTAAAATGTATTTCCTTGCTCGTGTTGTGAGGCTCATACAGTGATTAATAATTCAAGCCTACAGTTACTCTCTGGAATTCAGATAACATATGTAAGCTGGAAACCTGGCACTGTGTACATGCACCTCTAGAAGTTGATCCAGTTTGAACCCTTTACCTTTTGGCCTCATAGAAGTTATTAATGTGCAGCTTTCTAACTGTTCTCAATAACTCCATTTCATCTCAAACAGTCATCATGTCCATTTAATGTCTAAATATCTGTTTTTGTTGGTAAGGTGCACTAACTGTTACAGTTACTAACAGCCACCACCTTCTCCTCATACCCATTTCACAAAATTGTCAGTATTAACACTTTGCAGACCGCACACCCTTTAAGAGGTTTTTCGCTTTTAAACATGGCGGACCATTCGTGTGTTAACAGGCTTTTAGAAAACGGTAAGTTGCAACACACTATACCTCGCTCTGGCGCCACCTACATTGCACACAACTGCCTGCAGATGCATGATAAAGACTCTGGAATGTTTAGTTAGCAGTCAGTAACTTGATCTTGCTGTTTACTTAACCGACTATAAAGGAAAATGCTTTGCCTTCTTCAAGCTGTGTGTATCAGCCAGTAGCTACTGGGGAGAATGGATCAAGGACAAATTCTCCTCTGATGACCTAGCTGACCTGCCTTGTGAGACGCGTAGTAATGGACTGTCATTCAGACAGCGACAGTGACGGGGGACAACAAAGAATTGTGGCCACAGACAGTAAAGTGACAGTAGCTCTGACGATAATGCAGGTAATAACATTGTGCGTAGTAACATTGCAGGGACAGCAAAAAATCTAAACCCTGATTCAAAATTGAAGTACAAAGCATTTCTGATGAATGTGGCAAAGGCCTGGGCTACAGTCCAGATGGTGGCGGGAGAATCAGGGTCACACAAAGACTTAGTACGACTGGGCCCATCAACTCCCATCCCACGAAGGCCTCATGTGGACCCCCCAGGGTGACTCTGGAGTGATATGCAGAAAAATACCCTCGTGAAAATTGTGAAGAGTGAACATTCCAAGGGGAAGAATACTTCTAGGTAATGCCGTGTTTGCACAGTTCACAAAAAAAAAGGAGTATGTCTACATTTGCAAGTTCTGTGTAATGGCACTTCACAAAGGTGAAAGTTTCCAGAAATATCACACCCTCAAGCACTTCTAGGAGCATTGGTAAGTGTTCTCCAAAAATTTTAGTTCAAAAAATTAATTAGGAGATTTTATGTTAATTTTTCAAGTGAACAGTGCACAAGTTAGGGTAGTATGTTTAAAAATGCTGGTCCCCAGGGTGATTTAAATATTTAAATCACCGGTCCGCGAAGTGTTAATGTGTATACAATAACCTTCACTCATCATCTCCACTTGAATATTAGGTCCACTCTTTTCAAAATCCATCTGACAGAATAATGTGAAGCACTATTACAGTTGCTTGCAAATAACTTGGCAAGTTGCCTTGGATGTGCAGTGGCAAAATACTGTCATGTGCTCACTCTGAACACAGAACCACTCACTATAAAGTAGTGTTCCTGAATTTTCTCTTGATTCATTCAGGCACCTCCTTACATATAGGCAGCATGAAGCACTTAATGGCATCAATATACCGCAAATATTGCTGGCCTGACAAAAATATAACTTCCACCTACCCTCATCAACTTTATCAGTATATCAAAAAGGAGTCTACTTTACTGGCATAAAAGTGTTCAACAATCTGCCACAAAGTATTAAAAACTTGGGCAATGATACTAAAAAGTTTAAATCAGAGTTAAAGAATTATCTACATGCTCATTCCTTCTACTCTTTAGATGAATACTTCAATGTAAATACAGAATGATGTAAAATTAAGTTATATTAATTTTTAAGCTAAAATTGCCTGTACAGTACTTATGTATGTAACCTTTTGACTTGTTCTGTATCTAAAGGTACTAACCTGCTTAGGATTTATAGAATGTAAATAAATTAAATTAAATTCAATTACTTGTGTCAACCCATGCTTTATCCAGGTAAAACATATTCATCTGTCAGAATTACTGAGTTTTTCTACTTTTTCTGTCATCTGTTATTCTAGAAACTAGAAAACACGACATTTCAGAAACTGGATCTGTTTCTGTCCTAACTTGAGGTTAGGTTTTTGAGGGACCCACTTGAGTACCTGTCTCCCCCCCACACGCTTTCTAGTTTCTAGATTGCCAGATGGAAAAAGTCCAAAAACACAGTAATTATGAGTGTTATACACCAACGTCAGTACCCTTTAGAATCTACCTTCTTCCCTTCTTATTCACTTAACTCAGGTAACTTACAGTGCTTTTCTATAAACAAGCCCTTTTGAAGCCACTTTTTTCAATTAAACTGTGTTTCTAAAAAAGTTCATTACCACCTTAGGGTCGAGTCACATCAGTGTAAATTAATTTCTTCCTTCAACATAGTAAGGACTTTCTTACAGGCTGCGTTAAAGTTATCTAGTGTCTTTTATTAGACACCAATCAAACTTATTAATCCTTATCACTGTACTCTTCCGCTTGGATACCCCAACCCCTTTTCATGGGTAAGTAATTCATCATCTGGGTGGTTCACAATTTCTTTTGCTATGTTCTTAGTGGTGCACTTAAAACACTGCAATGTGCTGGCCCTTCAGTTGCCATACCCAATGGGACAAGCAAAATTCTTCAGATGCCCCCTTT